TCCCACAGTACTTTCCCATCGTATTCCTGTGGCTTCCTTCTTACTGAATCACTTCTATTGTACTGACATTCATATACGGGATGTGACTTCTAACAGGACTGAAGATGTCTGCATTAGGGTTCAGCTGCGGGGTCTGGAAGGTGCTTGTCATTGTCTGGGGTTGATTAAGTCGATGGTTAATGTATCCTCCTTGTGTAAAAGACAATAGATCATCCTTTAATGTATCTAATTCGCTTTTAACTTTACTAATGTTTTCCGTTTGTACTTCTTGTTTCCTTTCTTGTTTCAGTTGCCACTACTGTAGTCTCTCTTCTTGTTTCTTTACTTTTTCCTCCAACTACTGCTGTAACTTCTCTTCTTGTTTATTTTCTTTCTCTTCTAACAACTGCTGTAATTTCTCTTCTTGGTTACTTTCTTTCTCCTCTAACAACTGCTGTAATTTCTCGTGTTTATTTTCTTTCTCCTCCAACCACTGCTGTAGTCTCTCTTGTTTATTTTGCTGTTCGAGCTGCCATTGTTTAGGTTTTCTTGCCACTTCTGTAATCTTTCTTCTTGTTTCTTTTCTCGTTCTTCTTGTTTCTTTTCTTTTTCCTCCAACAACTGTTATAATCTGTTTGTTTGTTTGTTTTTAATTATGCACAAAGCTACACAAGGGCTATCTGTGCTCTGCCCACCACGGTAATCGAAACCCGGTTTCTAACGTTGTAAGTCCGCAGACATACCGCTGTGCCACTGGGGGGCCTGTTGTAATCTCTCTTCTTGTTTATTTTGTTGTTCGAGCTGCCACTGTTTTCTTGCAACTGCTGTTGTCTCGCTTCTTGTTTATTTTCTCGTTCTTCTTGTTTCTTTTGCTGCTCTAGTATTGCTGCCATCAAGTCTGCTAAGCTGTAGTTTGATTTGCTCCGTTCGTTAGTTAATTTTCCGTAAATTCGTTCCGACGAAACTTTAGCGACACAAGTCCTTTCTTAAATAAAACTGGTTTATTCTTTCTGAATATAACTTTGAGATACACTTAATTTCAACAGTCGCGCTATAATTCTCAACGAACGTCTCACGTGCTCGACTTCAACAATACTCAGTTCAATTACACACTCTCTGACTGCAGTTCAATTACTCATTGCTCCGTCACGTTGTGACCGTCTTATATATACAAGACTAACACATATCTAGTAAATGCTTGGGTATTCATGAAGGAACAGGATATTTCTAGAAAGAGGTGGCGTGATACTAGTCACGTGACCTCGCTGACGCAACATAAACTTCCAACTCATATTAATTGTACAAGTCTTTTTATCAGTCTATAAACTGGCATGACATAGAAATAGGACCAGGCTAGTATAATCTATATCAATTTACAATCGTTGTAGTATGTAATCTAGTTCCAAGCTACATGAATAGTGCAAGTTTACGATCTTTCTATACTCAATTTGCAAATTAAATTCAAACTACCGGTACAAAAATGTTGAAAAAGTACTTGAGCATACCCGAAGAAATATATATATGTTTACTAATTATGGAAGATTAAAATTAACAGTTATATCAACTAGGGCAAAATCAAATATTCTTATTTATCACAATTGGCCTAAACTTCCTGTTCGATTCTCTCAGCTGTTGCCTCAGCACTTCTCATGCTAGCATTAACTTTTTCGATTTTTAGGAAAAGAATTTCTAAGATCAGTTTATACTTTCTTTATCTTGCACCCCCACACCACATTCATTGCCTACCTCATTTCGAGCAACATCTGATCTTCTGTCTCTGCCACCTTGCTTTTACATACATATCGGGTAATTTCTCTTTCAGTATTGATTATAATTGTCTATGGTCTTTCCTACACCTTTTTTGTTTAAATATATATTTATTTACTTTTAGTATTGATGGAGTGATATTATTATCAGTTTTCGTTTTGGGTTTATTCTCTCTTTTTTTCATAGTTTG